CAGAAATAGATGAGATTTTGATTGGCTTCAAGCCGGACAGTACATTGGACCCTTGGTTTTCAGGTTTAATCCATTCCAGAGCGATTGGCATAAACGGAAATCGGCGAAAACAGAAACCATTTTCCCCATAAGAAATTATGTAAATCCAATTAATCCGTTCCAGACACCCAGATGTATTAACAAAAAAATGTTTTTTACCTTATAGATAGATTTACATGCACAAAAGAATGAACATTCAACATGACACTTACCTTTATTGAAGGCTGTTGTTGATGAATGAAAGACAGGGAGGAGGGGAGAGGGAGGAGGTTATTCTTTGGAAGGGAAATCCACCTCCATAAGGACTGTAGGTACCAGGTCCTTATCTGGGGTCACTTCCCTCCTTTGTTTCTTTGTTTCTTAATGCCACTAGGACCAGCTTCAGAGTCACTGGACCCCTGTCGCACAAAATATCTGTCCAGATAGGTCTGTTTCTGGCGTCTCTTTAAGATTTGCCTAAAATGGGATACGGCATTGTCATTGTAATAGTCGCCAGCATGGATTGCAATAGCTTTCTCAGGGTGACGTTCCTCCACAAATGAATGCACCTTAGTCCACACTGCACAAATCTCCTTATTCTCTGAAGAAGGCACCTTCTTCCATCTCTCTTCCTCCTCCTCTGAAGTAATTCCCTGAGCTGTGGTCTGTTGCTGTTGCAGATGAAGCTCTTGCAGCTCATCAGTGGTTAGCTCTTGATTGTGGTCCTCCACCAACTCTTCTACATCCTTGCCACTCACATCCAACCCTGTGGAATTCCCCAATGCCACAACTGATTGCACAACAGGTGTAGGGTCGACAGGCTCAGCCTCAAACCCTTCAAAATCCTTCTTCTGGACACAATCTGACCACAATTTTCCCCAAGCAGAGTTCATTGTCCTGCAAGTCACTCCCTGCCAAGCCTTATCTATAAGGCTTATGCAGTGGAAGATATTCAAGTGATTCTTCCAGAATTCTCTTAGGGTCAACTCATAGTCTGAGGTTATGTCAAAGCACCTTTGAAACATTGCTTTGGTGTACAATTTTTTAAGTTTGCAATGATCTGCTGGTCCATGGGCTGGATAAGAGGAGTGGTGTTAGGAGGCAAGAACTTCGCTGTTACAAAACTGAATTCCTTAGACAATTGGTCTTCCAAGGCTGGAGGATGAGCAGGAGCATTGTCCATTAACAGGAGGCACTGGAGTGGCCATTTATTATCCAGGAGGTATTTCTTCACACTCAGGCCAAACACTTCATTGAACCACTCCAGGAAAATTTGCCTCGTGACCCATGCCTTACTGTTAGCCTTCCACATCACACACAATTTACTCTTGACAACACTGTTTTTCTTGAACACACTGGGATTTTCAGAGTGATACACTTTGAAATCCCCACTAGCATTACCACAGAACAAGAGAGTTAGCCTGTCTTTCATAGGCTTGTGCCCTGGGAGTGCCTTTTCCTCCTGTGTGATGTAGGTCCTCTTTGGCATTTTCTTCCAAAACAGGCCTGTTTCATCACAAGTGAACACTTGTTGGGGTTGGAATTTTTCAGCCTCTACATAACCTTTGAATTTCCGCACGAATTTTTCAGCAGCTTGTTTGTCTGAACTGGCACCCCTCACCATGCCTTACAACACTGTGTATGCCACTTCGTTTCTTGAATTTTTCGAACCAGCCTTTGCTGGCCTTAAATTCACCAACATCGGCACTTGTTTCAGGCAGTTTCTTTATGAGATCGTCATGCAACTACCTTGCCTTTTCACAAATTATCGACTGCACACCATACCAACAACAATTTCTCCCCTTCTTCAATTGTTTAGGATCTCTGTTTGGTTATTGCAATCACCCCCTTTCGCAACATCAGCTTCCATGATTTCTTTTCTCTTTGCCACAATGGAGGTGATCGCTGATGGCGCCTTCCCATATATCCTGCCGAGTTCGGCTATACATATGCCACTATCATACTTTTGAACAATTTCTTTTTTCATTTCTATGGTGTTCCTCACTTTCTTTACCAAGGGCCTGGCACTAGGAGCTTTCTTTGGGGCCATGGTGGCTTATTTAGCAGTTACACACAATAAACAAGTGACAAAAACTATGGATTATTACGAAATCTTTCGTATGACCTGGCAGGATACGTCCACTCACCGAGAAACGAAGTGACACTGCCTGACAATGCGCGTAGGAGGCGGCTTTGTCTGGGCGCTGGACAATGGACAGGTTCCATACCATCAATGAAAACGGAGGAAATTGACAAAAATGGAACCAAAATACACCTACCATCCGACTTACGACCGAGTTCGGTTCCGAGAAACCGGTCGTCAGTCGAAATGGTCGTAAGTCGAACTTCACTACTGAATATCGAAATAACATTTTTGTAATGACTATTTTATTGTTTTATTTTGGTATTTTATGTTTTACTTCACTTTTTATGCTGTTAGTACTGTATTTTATACTGTAAGGTTTAGGATAAACACTGTGTACAACACAAACACTTGTTTATTTCCCAGAAATTTGGCATAAAAAAGCACGGTCGTAAGTCGAGTCGTCGTAAGTCGAGCAGGTCATAAGTCGGATGGTAGGTGTATTGACGAAAAAAGTCGATGAAAACGGAAATGGGCGATAATGGAGATCGACGAAAAGGGAGGGTCCACTGTACTTTAACCCTTAAACTGTCCAAATGTTGATCTACGTCCACGTGCGGGGGGCTCCGAACGTAGATCTACTTTTTTTTACATGCTTTCAAATAGGGAAAATCAAGGTCAGAGCACTACGCACGTCAACGTAGATCTACGTTTGGACAGTTTAAGGGTTAAACTAGAGCTCAAAGTAGCAGAAATGTTTGATTTTTGCCGATGTTCAAGAGTAAACAAATGATATCACCATCCAATACATGTCCAACTGGCCGATCTAATACACAGTCACGAATGGGTTGATATTATTTATACAGTTATTACAATAATGCAGTAGTCTGCATAACAGTAAATCTTCTATTTTTTTGTTTGAATAAAAATTGAAAATGGAAAGCAAGCATTATATAAGAGGGTCTGGAGATGTGACTAATGAACAGAGAAAATGTTATTTTAGTGATAGAATGTCTGCACTGCTTATTCTGGACCCTATTTTGAAATTGACATCTTTTGAAATTTGTGTGAAATTGGCCAAATTACTAATTTCTGACAACTTTACTGGATAGTTGAAATAGGTGAATGGGCAGTTTCTTCAGAACAGAAGGAACAATGGAATGGGCCAAACATAGCACATAAAGTGGGTGAAATCGTCGATGCCTAAATATCGCCATTGGATTAAGTGTACAGTATTCTAAAATAACCACTCTGTAATCCGGCAAAATCACTAATCCAGCACCCTACAGGTCCCAATGATGCCGGATTAGTGATGGCCAACCTGTACTATTAATAATAATAATATCAGATTGGAGGGAGGGAATATGGAGGAGGTGAAAGTGTTCAAATATTTGGGAGTGAACTTGTCAGCAGATGGGTCTATAAAAGACAAGGTAGACCACAGAACTGATGAGAAAAAAAAGGGGTGGTGCATTGAGGCATCTGTGGAGACAAAGAACATTATCCATGGAGGAAAAAAGGGGAATGTATGAGAGTACAGTGGTACCAATGCTCTTTTATGGGTGTGAAGCATGGGTTGTGAATGTTTCAACAAGGAGGAGGCTGGAGGCAGTGGAAATGTTGTGTCTAAGGCAATGTGTGGTGTGAATATTATGCAGAGAATCCATAGCTTGGAGATTAGGTGGTGTGGGTTACTAAAAGTATTATCCAGAGGGCTGAAGAGGGAGTGTTGAAGTGGTTCAGACATTTAGAGATGGAACAAAAATAGGATAACTTGGAGGGCGTATAAATCCGTAGTGGAAGGAAGGTGGGGTAGGAATCATCCTTGGAAAGGTGGAAGGGAGGGGGTAAAGTAGAATGTGTGTGCAATAGGCTTAGACATCCAACAAGCATGTGTGAGCATGTTAGATAGGAATGGAGGCAAATGGTTTTTAGGGCCTGACGAGCTGTTGGAGTGTGAACAAGGTAACATTTTGTGAAGGGATTCAGGGAAATCAGTTAGACTGACTTAAGTTCTGGAGGTGGGAAGTAAAGTGCCTACACTCTGAAGGAAGGATGGGGATATTTTCTGTTTGGAGGAGCATCTGAACTGTCATATGTGCATGTCTCTGGCAAGACAGTGATAGTTTGAATGATGGTGAAAGTGTTTCTTTTTCAGGTCACCGTACCTCAATAGGAGACAGCCAGTGCGTTATAAAAAAATTAATAATAATATTAATAATATTTGAGAATTCCTGTCTTGTAGGAGTGAAAATTTGGTGATGGGCACCTCAAAATGAAGTCGTCATCACAAATCTTTACACAAATAATTTTTAGCAAAAAATTAACTCAACCAAGGGGAGAGACACATGACAAAGACACAGGAAATGTTACCTTATTTCTCTATATGCTGAAGTTCTGAAAAATATTTCCTGAAAATACTGTGTCCATTCAATAAGTTTATTATTATGTACATGGGGAAGTGCTAAACCTGTAAGATTCATACATTGCCTGGTCAAATAATCTGAATATACACTACTTGAATTTTTTAACACTAAGCAATGTTGCTGCTCACTTTAATGAAATAGAAGACAGAAAGCATCAAAGATGTGCATATACTGCCAGGTGTCAATTAGTGTGAATTCCAATAATGCAGCCACTCCATGGGAGTCAGTATTCACACTAATTGAGACCTAGCTGTTTATATGTCACTGTGGAAGGTGCTTTGTTGATACTGAAGAGCTCTGATTCAATGAACTGGAGCTACCTTTCCTTTCCTTGGATCAAATCTGATTACTTCTCATTCCACAGACACTGCATGATGCTTGTGGATTTAGTGTTTCCCCATAAATACATTAATACTTGGTCTGCTAGGCTTTTATTAGATTATTAAAGAGAAGAATACAAGCACAGTACTTACCTTCTTATCAAAGCCATCGTAGCCCACTGGGGGTTGTGATCTGGGCATCATCTTCTCAGGATGTGTGTAATGATCAGTTGTCTGGCTATTTTCTGTCAATTGCTGTGAATATCGAGCCATCGGCTGATTTTTCTGAGCCCAGAGTGGTGTGCTTGAATCTCCTGGAAGCCTGTCAGCCTCCCAAGACGTTGCTGACCGATTTGCCTGCTGACTGTTCTGTGGCCACGTCTGTCCTGACCTGTTTGCTTGCAAGTTATCTGACTCCCAGTTCTGCATTGATCGATTTGTCAAATTATCCTGTGGCCAGGTTTGTGTCTGTTCACCAGCCACAGACCTTTCCTGGTCCCAAGTTCGCTGACTTGATGATGAACTATTTTGGTCATAGTTCTGTGATCTACTTGCCACAGAATTATTCTGTTCCCAATTCTGTGATCTTGAATTATTTGTCCCCCACGATGGTGGTTGTAAACCCGATAATGAATTACCCTGGCCCCAGTTCTGTGATCGACCTGATGAACCACTCTGCTCCCAAGTTGGTGCCTGTCGGTTTAATTTTGGATCGAACTCTTCCCAGCTCTGTGCCGATCGATTTGATGCCAAATCATTTTGCTCCCAGCTCGTTGCTGTTCGATTCAACTTTACATTATCCTCGTTCCAATTTTGTGTTGAACGATTTGGTGAATCATTTTGTTCCCAACTTGTTGCTGTTCGATTTGACTTTAAATTTTCCTCGTCCCAAGCTTGTGTTGAGCGACTTGACACTGAATGACTACCTTCCCAGGCCTGTGAGGGTCGACCTGATGCAGAATTATTTTGTTCCCAATTCTGCCCTGATCGGCCAGGCATTAAATGACTATCTTCCCAGGCCTGTGATGGTCGACCAGATGCTGAATCATTTTGGTCCCAATTTTGTGAACGACCCGACAGAGGATAACTATCTTCCCAGGACTGGGATGGTCGACTTGAGAAGGAAGAGTTATCACCCCAAGTATCTCTTGGTTGACTTGAATATTGACTATACTGTTCAAAAGTCAACGATCGGGTCGAGAGTGGATAACTCTGATCCCAGTTGTGTGTTGTTCGACTGAAAAATGAACTACTTTGCTCCCAGTCATGTGAAGTTCGGCCTAAAAGTGGACCACTATGTAACCAGTTCTGCGATGTTATGCTTGAAGGTAAGTTACTTGACTCCCAGGAATTTGTGGATCGACCAAAGAGGGAACTTCTCTGTGTCCATGAAGGTAGAAATGTGACCTTCTTAGCATGTACCCATGGCTTCAGTAGACGGCTTGTTATCTTCTCACTTGGCCATGTGTCAGTCTGTTCAGTGCCTGTAGCTGCAGCATTTTCTGAAAAGGTAAATTAAGGTCACTGCAGATCAATAACTCTACTGTTGTGAGCTCATGCACAGATGAAGGTCTCAGATGTTTCATTTAGTGTTTTCTTATTATCATTATTAATATTATTATTATTATTATTATTACAGGACAACATTAACTTTTAAGGGTTATATAAGGAGATTAGGAAATCTGAGGTAATCATGCTTAATCCAAGGAAGGAGAGGGTAGCTCCAATTCCTATCATCAAAAGCTCTTCACCAGTATCATCAAACTTTCCCCCAGCCCCTCTGTAGAATTCTCATTGAGGCTCCCACAAATAATCTCTTATTTGTGTCTCATCCACAATGAGGCAACCTTCACATGTCAATGTTTTGACTTCACACTTTGGAGTGATTGCAGATAAGTGGTTTTTATGGCTTGATGTGCTGTTGGAATGTGAGCACTTGTGAAGGGATTTACAGAGGAAACTGCTAAGCCAGACTCGAGTCCTGGAGGTGGGAAGTACAGTGTCTGCACTTTGGAGGGGTGGAGATGTATTTAGGAGGATCATTTAAATTGTGATGTCTGGGCACTTCTGGTAAGAGAGCTATTGAATGAATGATGGTGAATAGGTTTTCCCTTCCCAGAGTCACCCTCAGTGGAAGATGCCTGTATGCTAAACAAAAAATAATGTTTAATATTATAAAACTAATGTGAAAGACCTGGGAGTGATGTCAGAGGATCTCACCTTCAAAGACCACAACAATGTATATACCTCATCTGCTAGAAAAATAATAGGATGGATAATGAGAACCTTCAAAACTAGGGATGCCAAGCCTATGATGATTCTCTTCAAATCACTTGTTCTCTCTAGGCTGGAATACTGCAGAACACTAACTGCCCCTTCAAGGCAAGTGAAATTGCTGACCTGGAGAGTGTACAAAGAACTTTCACAGCACACATAAGTACAATACAGTGCCTAAATTACTGGGAGCGGTTGAAGACCCTTGGTTTGTATTCCCTGGAATGCAGGAGAGAAAGATACATACATGATAATATACACTTGGAAATCCTAGAGGGATTAGTAACAAACTTGCACACAAAAATCACTCCCTATGAAAGCAAAAGACTAACAGGAGATGCAACATTCTCCAATGAAAAGCAGGGGCACCATGAGCACACTCAGAGTCAACACAAAAAGTGTCAGGAGCCCAAGACTGTTCAACTGCCTCCCAGCATATATAAGGGGGATTACCAATAGACCCCTGGCTGTCTTCAAGAAGGCACTGGACAGACACCTAAAGTCAATACCTGACCAGCCGGGCTGTGGTTCCACGCACATTGGTTTACGTGCAGCCAGCAATAACAGCCTGGTTGATCAAACCTGATCTACCAGGAGAGTTGACCTCTGTGAACATCAAGATATGTACAGTGGACCCCCCATCTTATGATATTAATCTGCTCCTGAGAGCTCATCATAAGCCGAAATTATCGTTAGCCGAATTAATTTTCCCCATAAGAAATAATGGAAATCAAATTAGTCCATTCCTGACACCCCAAAGTATGAAAAAAAAATTTTTACCACATGAAATATTAATTTTAATACACACAAACTGAAGAAGATATGTACAATTACATGACACTTACCTTCATTGAAGATCTGATGATGATTGATGGGATGGGAGGAGGGGAGTGTGTGGAAGTTATTGTTTAGAAGGGGAATCCCCTTCCATTAGGACTTGGAGGTAGCAAGTCCATTTCTGGGGTTACTTCCCTTCTTCTTTTAATGCCACTAGAACCAGCTTGAGAGTCACTGGACCTCTGTCACACAACATATAAGAACATAAGAAAGAAGGAACACTGCAACAGGCCTACTGACCCATGCGGAGCAGGTCCATGTCCCCCCGGATTAGACCAATGACACCCCCCCCCGGATTAGACTAATGACACCCCCCCCCCCCCGGATTAGCCCAATGACCCACCCAATCTGGTCATCTCCACTCAAGGATGGAGCACTGCACCAGACCCAGCAGCACAAGCTAGTCAGGTCCAACTCACACCCACCCACACCCACTCATTTATTTATCTAACCTATTTTTAAAACTACACAATGTTTTAGCCTCAATAACTGTACTCAGGAGTTTGTTCCACTCATCCACAACTCTATTACCAAACCAGTGCTTTCCTATATCTTTCCTGAATCTGAATTTTTCCAACTTGAAACCATTGCTGTGAGTCCTGTCTTGGCTGGAAATTTTCAGCACGCTATTTACATCCCCTTTATTTATTCCTGTTTTCCATTTATACACCTCGATCATATTCCCCCTAATTCTACGCCTTTCGAGAGAGTGCAGATTCAGGGCCCTCAGTCTATCCTCATAGGGAAGATTTCTGATACATGGGATCATCTTTGTCATCCTCCTCTGTACGTTTTCCATCGAGCTCTGTACCTACCGTCCCTTTAAGACTTTCCTAAAATGGGCCATGACATTGTCATTGTACAGGTTGCCAACACGGCTTGCAGTAGCTGTGTCAGGGTGGTTTTCATCCATAAAGGTTTGCAGTTCAACCCACTTTGCACACATTTCCTTAATCTCTTTTTTCAATTCCAAACTAATTCTCACCCTTTTTACCACAGGGATGGCACTAGAAGCTTTCTTGGGGTCCATGGTGACTTATTTTGCAGTTACAAGCACTAAAAACACTGGGATAATGTGAAATGTACCAAATGTATGCGTAGATGCGACCGCACTGGCTGGCTTGTAAACACTGGTGCTGAGGCCACACGTGGGATATGTCCCAGATGAATCACGTAAGGCAAGTTTTTTAGCGTGAGGCGAGGCAAAATTTTTACGTTCAAATGCTTCGTATGGCGGATTTAACATAACGCGATGCGTTCATAAGGCGGGGGGTTCACTGTACTTCAGTACCTTCCCGTGTCCACTATGTGATGACACTGCCCAATACAGCCTCTCCTCATTTAGCGATGTACTTGTTTACCGACGCCTCATACTTATGACAGGCTCTCTGACCAGTATTCAGATGTCTTCTTCGAGGGGCCAGGCTGAGGTTTGGCAGACAGTAACGCGACACCACCACCAGCCTTGAAAAACCTGCACCTAGTTCCTCACTGAACGCTTACACACACCAACATTCCCCACTATTTCTTTCATCTGTTGCCCAGTTTTGTGAAGCCCTATGATTTGATCTATAGTTTCAGGTGTTAAAGACTTCCATTTACCCATAATCAAACATGTAAAGCCCCAAAACTAAAGGGAACACCGGACAAAAGATGGGGCAGATGAAAGACGAAAGTGCAACACTCCCTCTCACCCCAGCAGCCACATGAGCACTGAGGAGTCACTCTGAAGTGTGGCGGCAGGCCATGACGTCATGCTAACAGCTGCTACTTGGCATAATGCACTGACAAAAAAAGACCCTCCTGTATGGTAGGCCTTTGATTTTCGTCACAGCATTATGCCGGGGCGCTCACCTGGGACTAGCACTGTACATGTATATATACGTAGCTTCATAACCCCATACAGTAAGCAAAAATTGCTGTAAGGTGGAAAAGAGCAGTATTTTTATTACTGAATGCATCTAAAACTCCTGATAATGTGTTTATCTTATATTAACCCTTTCACTGTTGGTGCCATAGTACTATGGCTTATGAGCCGGTGTTGGTGCCATAGTACTACGCCAAAATTCTAGCAGCTTCAAATCTAGCGGGAGAAAGCTGGTAGACCTACATGTGAGAGAATGGGTCTGCATGCTCAGTGAGCGCAGTATCAAAAAAAATCGGGGAGCCAGTGGTGCATTGTGGGAATGCCATTTCAGTTAGCCTTATTCACCATGCCTTGCGGTAAGAAACTCCTCACTCCCTGGTGAACTGGGACTCTTCTTTTTCCAAGTGACAGTTCTAACACAGACGAAAGCATCAGTAAAGATGAATTTCATGGTTTTGAGGAGTTTGTGACTGAAAGCAATGCCCAGGATACAGGAAATAGCGCTGAAAATCCAAACGACCCTCAACCTTCCACCTCAGGTGCTGGCCCGTCTTGTTCACATTCAATTGTACCAGAATGAAAGAGGAAACTCATATTTCCCCATGTCCAGGACTCAGATATGAGCAGTGTTGATGATAGTGATAGTGATTGGGATTTACAAGTGTTTGATGACAATTCCAGTAGAGACAGTGAAGAGGAATATTCTCCAGTGAAGCATCAATGTATATGATGCTACATGCATTCTGGTAGTGTGTCATATGCTATTTCAAGGTGAAGGAGCACATCTCGGAGTACATCCCATGGCCCTACACCAGGAACAGACAGTGAAAATAACGATGATATTGTTACAATTGGGATGGATAATGTGCATGCGGCATCAGGTGGTGGTGGTGCCATGCTCCATGAGGCACAAGCAGCAGCCAACGCTGGGAGCCACGCCCCTGACTCAGCTGATCCACGACAAAGGCCACCTTCACCCACCCATGCACCCACAACCACAACCTGTACAACCACAGCCTGCACAACCACAACCACCTGTCAACATCCAGTACCCACCAGCAGACCGCATCTGAGATTGGCAGGAGGGTGCCAATTTTGTTCCCAATCCCCATCACTTTGATGAAACTCAAAGTGGAATACGGCCATCTTGTACACTTGATAACAATGCCACTGAACTACAACGTTTCAAGTTATTCTTTGATGAACCCCTGATGGAAATTGTTGTCAGGGAAAGCAACACATACTTCGAGTACACCATGGCAAACACAATTATTTCACCAAAATCACGCCTACACCAGTGAAGGAGACAACTGTGGCTGAGATGTATCTGTTCTATGCCACAACAATGCTTATGCCACATGTGTATAAGCACACTGTCTTTGATTCTGTTCAAAGGTAGACTGTTGTTCAAGCAGTACATACCAAGCAAGAGGAAATGCTTTTGTATAAAACTGTTTGTACTTTGTGATGACTACAGTGGTCTTGTATTGGATATTATTGTGTACACTGGAAGCAATACATTGC